ACATTAGTGTAATCTAGGAGAAATCATCACTTGGAGGTTTGCTGAAAATTCTCCAAAAAAAATTTTTTTCTACTACAGGGGAGTGAAACAATTATTACAAAATATTTTCATAATATATTTAATAATATACATTAACCTAGCTTAAATTTTCAAAATTTTGTTTGTCCCTAGTTAATATTTACATAATTATATAGTTCGAAATTCAAATGAGTAATTTCATCAAAAAAGTAGTACTTGTTATATTAAAAAAAAATTTACATTTACATTTGGGTCGTTATCAACAACATAATAATCTATTATGAAACAAATACGCTTGCTGACGTGAGACAAATCGGTTATTATCAAATTAGTATGCGTGGAACCAGTTTGAGTTTTCCCAGATCATTGCATATATAATTTAAAAAGAAGCGTATTAATGAATTTTAATTATTTATTTATATATAGTAATCTATAATGTTTATATAAATAAATAATTATTTGTAAATTTATTTTTTTTTAAAGCGGGTAAGTCGTGGATGTCGCTCTGCTGTACAGTAGGTTACTGTAATGGATGGGATTAAATTTGAATGTAATGATAGGTATCATTGTATACGAAAAACGATTCTGAACGGAGATGATTTGTCAGTCTAGGACAGGGGTCGGGAACCTTTTCGTAGGAAAGAGCCATTTTTTCAAAAAAATACAAAACTATGATATCCAGGAGCCACACTGGAGGTTTGGACAACCTTTTTTTAGTAGGCAATAAAAACATAATAATACGTCTTAAATTTAGAAAATATGGAAAACTTATATTTATATTATTATTATTGTTTATACAAATATAATATTATTTAGTATAATATAATTTATATTTTACGGATATYGATATATTGATAATTATCCAAAGAGCCGCAGGTTCCCGACCCCTGGACTAGGATATATTATATTTAAATATTGTCATATATTCTATTTCGAAACAAATATTTTATTTTTCAATTAAGATGCATTTTGCACAAGGCATGRTTAATCAATTTTTCCAAAAACATTGCATGTAKTTATTATAATTCATAATACCTTATATAATCATAGATATACATTATACATAATATACTTGATTTGAGGATAAATCGTTATCATTACGCGATTTCATAAAMATTTAAAWCTCAAACGCTCAAAACATTTTTCCCATAATGACGCTTCAAATTGTCTCTATAGCTATTTGAAGCAAAACTTATGTAAAACTTAGTGTTGAATTTTATAACCTTAGATATAAATACAAACAATATTATGAATTTTGAACTATAAAATAATTTGCAAATATTCATGGTTTT